GGGACAAGCATAAGATATTTACGAGGATGTTTGGCGAATAAATCCTGGCTTAAAATATACTTTCAGCATTTCAATAATAGAAGAATCAACGCCAGGATGGCAAGTACTGGATAACAAATTATTATTTGGCCTGTCGTTAATATATCTTTTAAACATTGGCCTAATAATTTAGGGGTCCTCATTTGAGATTTTAGCCCCTGTTTGTTTTCACTTTTAAGCAGCAGAATTCCTATCGTTGCTACAGTAATGTAGTCGCAATCTTTGACCTCTTTCTCTCATAGTGGGCCCCAATATTTTGGAAAAAAGGGTAAAAAAGGAAAATTATAAAAAATCAGGTGTTTAAAGATCAATTTTTAAAAATCAGGTCTACAATTTATTTATTAAAAAATTAGGTATTTTATTTTAANTACAATTTATTTATTCAAAAATTAGGTATTTTATTTTAAATATTAAATACTTAATCTATTCAACCCCTAAACTAATTCATTTATCTCTATTCTCTCCCAATCTGTTCATCTCTCCACTCTCTCACCCGCCGCCTCCACCGCCACTGTCAGCTTCTCCTCCCTTCCCCTCCCACTGCCCCTCTCCCTTCTACTACAGCAGCTTCGCGACTCTGTTGTGTGTCGCGAAGCTGCTGCAGTGGGAGGGAGAGGGAGAAGGGCAGTAGTGTTGGTGGCGAATGGAGGGAGACACTGCTTCTGCACGAATGGCGTTGCGACGCTGCCGGGTCGGATGGAGGGTTCAGGTACTTTGATGTTTGTGTGGTGGATCTGCGTGGTTGGGGAGGGTTTGGATGGCTTTTTGTGTGGTGGTCGTGGTGATGGTGTTTGTGTGGTTGATCTAGCGGTTGGGGAGGGTTTGGAGGAGTTTTTGTGTGGTGGTGATGGTGTTTGTGTTTTTGTGTGATTCAAGCTATAAATCTGAGTTTTGAATTTCTGTAAAGTAAACACCTTATTTATGAATTTTTCCTTAAAAAAAATTGATTTTTATGTTAAAACAATTTGAAACAAACACGGGCTTAATGAAATTCAATGAAAATATACTTAATAACTAGTGGATTTATAAAGACTTCATTAATAGAGAGACTAATTTAAAAGATTTGAATGGATTTCAAGTTTAAAAATACATGTAACCAAATCTTTTGAAATTTCACCATATTTGATGATATTCTTATGAAATTTGTGGAAATCTATTCAAATTCACAAAATTCATTATGATTTATAATCGTTTAAAATCCATCAAAATTTGAGTTGAGGACGCT